ATATGTGGAAAAAAGGGGGCGTGGCCTGGTGGAGCTGCACTAGAGACCATAGACTGTAAAAAATACAATAAATAAAATCAAGACTTCGTAAAAGAGCAGAACAGGACCCCTTTAAAGCAGGTAACATTCCAAAAAGAAACAAATAAATATTTTTTTGTATAGCATTGGCACCATATGCAATGTTTCTGTATGTTGAGGACAAGAGAAAGAAAAATAATAATTTCAAGGGTGTGTTACAATAATGTAACTCGCTGCTTAACTACCAGTACAATAACTAGCTAGTCACGACTGTTCCCTGAAACACTCATCATGTTGGTTCTGCAATAAACAGTACGACTGTCGTTAATGACGTCACCTGCAGGTGGAGTAAGACCTTCTGCTAAAGGAATATTTCTCATAAAAATTAATTTTTTCACCCTTATGTTGGTCCACACCTAAATGGAATTATTTCAAGCTTCTAAACAGTCCTGCTTACAACCATGTACAGTATGCTATGTTTCTGAAGTCATACAGTGTCATAGATATGTGTGAGGAACAGACTGAAATTTACATTTTGATTTACTTTTATAACTTTCTTCTAATGGGCCACAGAGTGCAACTGCTGGGTTCCGGAAGTAAAAACCCCAATAATTTTCAGCCCATATTATTTTAACTTTTTTTTTTTAATAATCACATGTAACAGTAGTGAAAAAAACTACATTAGCATTTTTAAAAATAAAAATATACATTAAAAACTTTCAAGCTACACTGTAAAAAAAAAAAAACTAAACATAAGGCACAATGTACTTTATTAATTTTTTTTTTATCTGTATTTTGAACTTCATTACATTGTGTTTTAGGGTTAACGGAAATGTCCGTAAAAAGGTAACATTCCAAAAAGAAACAAATAAATATTTTTTTGTATAGCATTGGCACCATATGCAATGTTTCTGTATGTTGAGGACAAGAGAAAGAAAAATAATAATTTCAAGGGTGTGTTACAATAATGTAACTCGCTGCTTAACTACCAGTACAATAACTAGCTAGTCACGACTGTTCCCTGAAACACTCATCATGTTGGTTCTGCAATAAACAGTACGGCTGTCGTTAATGACGTCTCCTGCAGGTGGAGTAAGAACTTCTGCTAAAGGAATATTTCTCATAAAAATAAATTTTTTCACCCTCATGTTGGTCCACACCTAAATGGAATTATTTCAAGCTTCTAAATAGTCCTCCTTGCAAACTTCATTACATTGTGTTTTAGGGTTAACGGAAATGTCCGTAAAATTAATGGATAATGTCCTGGCAGAAAATTACCAGTGCATTTCTTTCTTTCTTTCATTTATTTATTTACAGTGCAGATTTGCAATTAATAACTTTGGAAATGCGTCATCACAGTCTGGAAAAAAGTCCATAGAATCAATCTTTGAATCAATGTTTGTGTATCTACATATATTTTGCAATAAATAAATGTATTGTTTCTGTATACATTATCAATTTTGTATATACCTTTTGTAAATATTTTATTTAAAGCAAAAGTCAATAGTTAATTGTTAGAATTGGACCTTAAAATAAAGTGTGACTGAATACATTCAAGACTTATTTTGTTATTACAGCAAATTACAGCTTCTGCCAGTAAATTACCAACGCAGTTAAAGAATAGAGGAAAATGAGCAAAATTAAAACCAAAAAAAGACAGCACTTGTATTACCTGCAGAAACAATGCTGTGTCAATGTATTTAGGTTTATTTTTGGATTATTTCTCCAGCTTGGCATGTTAAAACATCGTTTGCACAGTAAAACTGTAAACAGACTAATTTTACATAACACATAACATAGTAATTTCCACTAACTGCCCATAGGATGAAAGGCACATATAACTGGCTGGAGGCAGGTTGCCTTGCCACCTGTTGCCCAGGAAACCATCCAGTAGCTGCCATGACGAGCAGCATCTTTCGGTATAATGTGTGCTGCTGATATGCAGCTCTGTGCAAATGTCAGCTCATTAAAACTGAACACACTTGACCTTTCTCACCTGGGCTCACCTGTTTGTGTAGAAAACTCATGAACTGTCAACAACATGGATTCCAATTTAGTCTAAAAGAAATAGGTAGAAGCATCTTTTGGGTTTGTTATCTCTTATCCAGCTCTGTTTCAAAATCTAGTGAGCTTTCTAGCTGTCTACATCCAGTAGGTCATGTTATGTTCATGTTAACATCAAGTGATGATTTTAGACATGATACTGTCAGTATGAACTGTTTTGCTATTTTGACAATCATTGCATCTCCGATCAACACACTGGTGTTTCGTTCCTGAATGATTCAGCGTTTTTGAATGAATCGAGTGAGTCAATGACTCAATAAGCCATTCATAAAGACAGTAACTAAATTCAAAACTGCATACTAGTGTACTACTCGTACTATTTTTAGCATGTCTTTTCATGGCAGAAATAGTAAGAGTAGTATTATGCAACACGGTTCTGAAATAAGCAAGTCACTTGCTTCATTTCTGAATGAATCAGCTGTTTTGAATGAATCAGTTGAATGAGTGAATCAATGACTCACTCTTTAAGACTGTGACTTGTTGGTTTTCTATTTAAAGTATCATAGTTCTATATTCATTCTATTTTATATTTTAAAAAGTTAATATCATATCATTTATGCAATTGCAACTGCAGTGTAAATGCATTCATGGACGCACAACGATAATATACAAAACTGATAAGAAAAAACTAAGAAGAAACATAGTTATTTCAACAAAAAAAACGCGTTTACGGTTATTCACTGTAAATTATACAGTCTTTTTCACTTCCAAAAACAGTATACTACCTTAAAATTAATGTCCAATACATGTAATGTCCAATACAGTTTTTCACCATATATAGTTAGGGAATTTACCGCTAACCATTTAACAGGTTTTTACTGTAGCATTTTTACAGTCTTTTACCGTTAAATTCACGGTAATTTTTTACAGTGTAGCTACTGAAACTAGCATATCAAACTAGGCGGAAGTGAATGATTTAATGAAGTTATATAGTTTTTCAGTACTGTATTTCAGTAACATTAAGGTGTTGTCAACTAATCTAAAGTATTGACTCACCCTTAACAGTGTGCTTTATGCAAATGTGTTATTTGTTGGATACTTTGTATATATAGCCTATAATATAGGACTGGTACACTGACTTTTATCAGTAATTGTTTACCTTTGTATTTTGTTTCCAAATACATGATATGCCAAAAAAAATGACTGGCTAAGGTCATAAACATTATTTTCACTATTGTGCAAATGCATGATCAGCATACTGTAAATCTGTGGTCTTATGTTCATCTGTTAACGTGACCATTGATAGCTTTCTCTGACATTTAACCAGATGTATTATTATTCACATACTCTTTATAAGAGTGTTGACAGTATAAACATGTTGAAATGAAAAATGAAAAAGTTGACATAAAATAAAAATTCGGTAGCAGTTTAGAATAAGAAAAAGCATATTCACTATTAACTAAGAGTTTTTCCTCTATAAGCTCCTAATATGCTGCTTATTAGTAAGGTAGTTGTTAAGTTTAGGTATGGTGTGGATTAAGGGATCTAGAATATGATCATGCAGAATAAGACATTAATATGTGCTTTATAAGTACTAATAAACAGCCAATATGCTAGTAACATGCATGCTAATAAGCAACTAGTTAAGTGTTAAGCATTACCGAAGCTATTTTCTAAATGCATGTTATTTATTTAGGTGTGAACAGTTCTTCTCTGCATATGTTTCATAATTCTTTATCAAAATGTTGCAACTCGATCTTCTGGTGAAACAACAGAAACAACTTCTCTCCGGTGACGTTATGAGGACCAATCATTCATAAACCCTGCTATTTTCTCACATTCGCACACAAGCTTGCATTCAGTCGATCTAGCAGTTTATATCTTCTTTATATCCCTGAGTTTATATTTTCTCGCTAGACATTAATATGTGCTTTATAAGTACTAATAAACAGCCAATATGCTAGTAACATGCATGCTAATAAGCAACTAGTTAAGTGTTAAGCATTACCGAAGCTATTTTCTAAATGCATGTTATTTATTTAGGTGTGAACAGTTCTTCTCTGCATATGTTTCATAATTCTTTATCAAAATGTTGCAACTCGATCTTCTGGTGAAACAACAGAAACAACTTCTCTCCGGTGACGTTATGAGGACCAATCATTCATAAACCCTGCTATTTTCTCACATTCGCACACAAGCTTGCATTCAGTCGATCTAGCAGTTTATATCTTCTTTATATCCCTGAGTTTATATTTTCTCGCTAATCTGTAAAAAAAAAAAAAAAAAATCCAACTTAGGAAAAGTTCTTCTAACAAATGTAAAAAGTAGCTTGAACCAAGAATGTTTAGTAGGACTTTATTATTTTGTATGAACTGAACAAAAATACTCTAAATATGTCACAAGTTCTTTTAATTACCTTATACTGAAGTATTTGTTCACAACGTGTCCAAAACTTTCCAAATTGAGTCATCTGAACAAACAATTATACGTTGAGCAATATTGTGCACGCATTGCAGCTTGAAAACATTTAGTGGTAATTATTATTAAAATATTATCATTGTTTTACATTTTACTTGCTTAATTTATGCTGCTGTTGTTGTCACTGTCAGTTAGCTGTCAAATAGATCAGAGTTCATATTTTTACTGAATTAACATTTATTGATGCTCACCATGTTTGAGAATCGTGTGTTGAGGTATATGTACATCTGATTGCAACTTCTGGATTTAACACATTTGTCTATCAGCATAAATGTTTGCCTGTAGATTTAAGAGGCTGATACTGCCCATATTATGTAGTAAGCTTTGAAAACGAAACATGAAGATAAAAGAAAGAAGATTGCTCTTTTTGGCACGAGCGTCTCTTCATTTTACAGCTGACACATTAATGTGATGCTTCACTGGTTTTCTGCTGTATCCAGATGAGAGTGAAGTGTCAACAGAAAGTTTGTCCTAACTGAACTTTATTTATGTGTTCACAGAGACATTAAGCCAGACAACATTTTGCTGGACGAGCACGGTAAGCCCTAAAGATACTATAAATCACCATCACTTCTGCTGTTAGTGCTTCTTGTTAGGACATGCATGACTATTACTATTGCTCAGGCTGACTTTCTCTCTTTCTGACTTGTTGAGTGATAGCACAGGTGACAGAAAGGCATTGAAGGTTATTCACGGCAGATGCTTCACATAGGATTGACTAACCGTGGAGAAAAAGCAAACTGCATAATTTTTCATCAGTATGATAATAGGCAGGGGAATATTAATGTGAATGTAGTTATGACCCCGTACCTAAACAAAAACACACAGCAGGTGGTTGAAGATGACAGAGAAGCCCAGTGAGTTTTTTTTTTACCTCTTCTTTCTCTCAGCATCTTTTTTTTCTCTTTACTCTTTTGTGTGGAAGGCAACAATGACCACACAATTTTTCAGTTGCTTTGGTTCTGGATGTATTAACGTTTTTCACATAGATTTCAAAAACAGTCTTCAGTAAAGAGGTTTAAGCCATGAGCCAAACAGCATTAGAAACTTTGCATCAAGAGTATCTAAAAATGTAAATTTTAGGCACCTAAATATATTTGTGCATATTTTGCATCACAGTTTCCATACTATCTGAATTGGTGTGCATGCTGAAATACCTGGATGGTCTATTGTTGTTGGATTGGAAGTTGCATGCACACTTCAACGGCACAATGCTGCAAACCACTGGACTTTGGAGCCTGATTTGTTTCAGACCTAGATGTCTCCATTATCATTACCCATATTGTGTTAGATATGCAGGAATGGTTTGAGAAGCATTGATCTAGACAAGCATCACCTGCATCTGTGGTTCCACGAAGAACCTTTAACATCCATGGAAACTTTCCAATCCACAAAAACTTCTGTATAGTGGAAAATAGTTGTTTAGATTTTTAAAATGTTCTTTACACTAAGAAAAAAAAAAGTTATTTTAACACTCTGGGCCTCTTCGGTCACTTTTGACTGCAAAATCTAACATTTTGAAAAAAAAAAATATAGTAGCTTCATCGGATGGTGACTTGGTGACTTTTGTCACATTAGCTGTGTGAACACATCTCATCATAACAACAAATCATGCGCATGATTCAGATATGTTAAAGGGTTAAAAATGAAAAAAAAGGAACCTTTGCGGTCAAAAATGACAGTTTAAAAAATAGCTCATAAAAATTTTATAAATATTGCATTGTATCATAAAATCCCCTCAGATTTCTAAATAAGAATCAAAAAATATTATATCAAATATTATATCAAAAATAAATTACATTGATTTTCCTGAAAATAAATAAATACATATATACACACATATATATATATATAGTTACATTTCAAGGCTTTGGTCACGTTTGACTGCAAAGGTACCAAGTTTGTCCCAAAAATTAAGAGGCCCAGAGGGTTAAGATCTGTTCACTGAAAGGTTCTCTCTGGAACTAAATGACATTGCTGCGAAAACCCCGTTTTGGAGGCTTGATTTTTAAGAGTGTTCCATTTTTGTCCTTTAATGTGCCTCAGGTAGACATCTGTTCCTGTGCTCAAGAACATCAGAGGGGTTTTCTATTTTGATCTAGGTTGCTTCTGTCTGTACAGATTTATGTCAGTGGTCTCAGAGCAGTCGTTTCAGATTCAGATTGTGAAAACAGTGCGTGATGGAAAGAGCGATCTGTTGTTTTCACCAGACAGCACTAAACACTTCTTCTGGCTTTGACACAGACTTTTATGACCCTTAATGCCTCTCCATTTCACACTTGTTCTGAGTTAATTCAATTTTCAGTGAGTATTTTGTTTCTGTGGGTTGATTTAGGTCTGTAAATTTAATACATTACCTTAGTGTATATATATATATGTGTGTGTGTGTACATGAACCAACAATTAAAAATAGCGCAGATAGAATACAAGAACGTGTTTTCAGAGAGATTTACAAACTGAATGGATTGCTGTGGACTGCAGGCCAACAACTGGCTTACATTCAATATCATTGAAATAAAACAAACAATACATTGAGTTTTAAAGCCGTTTTGAAATATCTAATCAATTCTTTAACACAATAATGTAATTTCCTTGACCGTATCCTCTATTAGGATGTTGATATGCAACTTTAATCAACTCACAGCTTTAATTAATTAATAGCTTTTTTGTAATTGCATTGCATAGATTTTTTAGTGCTATCCCATGGCAGAATATATCTATGCTTGTGCTGCAAAAGACTACATATACACATCATAACTGGAGCGATAAGCCATATTTATATGCTTCAGTGAGTTTGTGGACGTGGTATCTTCATGAAATATGGAGTCATTTGCAAAAAGATGAAAATGACTGATAAAAAGATGCTCGTACATCTTGCTTGTACATTGAAAAGTGAAAGAACCTCAGGATCTTCAACAAAGTACACTGGCAGCATTAAAAACTACTCAAATATACTGTTAATACTGTCATTTTTGGACATGGTATCATAGTAATACCATGTTTTTTGCACATTGACTTGACTTGGCCAATTTGAAACTGCATTTCCTTTGGAGAATCATGTGATGATTTGATATCATGCTAAAGTACCATGATATTACCACCTGGCCATCATTGTAGCATACTAACCCCAAAAAAGAAAGACATACAGGTTTGTAATTACATGAGGGTTAGTAAATGACAGAATTTTCATTTCTAGAGAACTGTCCCTTTAACTGCTGATGAAGCCCATGCCAAAACATCAATTTGCTTTTGACTGAAAATCTGACAGATATTTGGAAGTGGAAGTGCTTTTTAAGGCAATGCGCTTACAAAGCTTACAGACACAGAGCAGTGCTGTTTTTAACCCCTGGAGGGTGTCTGGAAAGCGCTGACTCCTGCAGACCTCACGTTTAGAGGAGGTCCTCTCCACAGCTCACTGGACAGTTGGGTTTTTACTCCCTGAGGAACGAGAGGTACATTACCTCCATTGCCCCTTCTGCGGGAACCAAGATCACTCAGAGAGCGCAGAAAAACACTCTGCATTCTCACACAGGAGAGGAAGTGACTTGAGACCTGCGCTTGTGCAACCAGAAGCCGATGTCTGTACATAAAAAGGGGGAGAACAGTCACAATAATGTTCTGTTAAAAAAAGAGTTCACCCAAAAATAAAAATATTAGTTCACACTTTTTTCAATTCTCACTATTAACTAACTATTGACTACGACTTTTGCCTCAGTAAACTCCTAATTTGCTGTTTATTAATAGTAAGGTAGTTTTTAGTTTCGGTATGTGTGGATTAAGGGATCTAAAATATGATCATGCAGAATAAGACATTAATATGTGCTTTATAAGTACTAATAAACAGCTAGTAATATGCATGATAATGAGCAACTAGTTAATAGTGAGAATTGGTCCCTAAACTAAAGTTTCATTATTAATATTAATTAGTTATTTTCAGCACTGAGACCATTTTTGTTGTGTACTGTACAAAATATTGTGGAACTGCAATATAAACCCATTTATCACCCCAATGTTTCACAATATAGAAAGATTTTATGAAACAACATAAAATGCTAATGAACTGCTGATGTTACACAAGCACTAGCAGGCACACAACTTAATAAACATTTCATAAATATTTACAATGCATTTGTAAAGTAATCAAAATTTGAAAATTTGTAAATAATTTTTTCCCCCATCAATCTACATTTTGTGACCAAAATATATGCTAAATATATCTTTCAAACAGTGAAACACCAGACACGAGCAGAACGATGCGACTCGACTAAAGTCCATAGAATTCATTATAATTAGTGATTCTGTCCAGTTTAAACAGCTTCTAGCTGTTGCGGCGGGAAGCAACGCGTCGTCAATATTGCGTTCGGTGCAGACGTCTTGTAATCCTCGCAGGCATCTCTATCATTTTGTTACTGGCGTAATCCTGTGTTTGCATCTCTCTCATATTTACTTGCCTCCTACTACATGCATGAATTGCAATGATGAAGAAGTAGGCATTGATCTTCTTCTGCAGAGGCGGGCTTTCATCACACTATGACATCATACCAAAACATGAAACGAACCGTCAGTGTTCGGCATTAAAAGTAACGTGAGCTACGTAATCAGATTACTTTTTTCAAGAACTAGTAAAGTAAGGCATTACTTTTTATTTTACAAGAACATATCTAAGTCACTTTTTCAAATAAGTAACACCAGTTTCTTTGTTTTTCCAGCTCTTCTGTCCCCATGTTGAGAGAAATCAGGAGTAAGTGCAGATTCAGTATTCTTCCAAATGAATAAAAACAGTCAAATTCAAACTCAGAATATGACAAAACCTGCAATAATTAAATATGTTAAATAATACAATATCCTTTATGTATTTAATCCCATTTTATCAATTTTATTTTGTTTGTTTTTTTGCTGAAGAGTGTTGAATTTCTTCTCCTGCGTCCTATTCTTCATGTAATCCTGAATGGCGGCACAGCTGAAAGGTTTGTTTGAGCTGCGCCCTCTACTGTACAGACGGGAATTTACATTTCCTTCAGTCTGGTGTGTAAGGGCTTTTACATTTGCCAAAAATAGAACTTTTTATATTAACTCTTTCCCTGCCAGCGTTTTTGAAAAAAGTTGCCATTTTCACTAAAATTTCATGGCCTCCAGAATATTTTGTTTTATGAATATCTTAACATGCAATGCATCAAAAATAAAGAACAGAGCCTCTACTTTTAAACAAAAAAAAATCTGTTTTATTCTAGCTTCAAGCATTCTTTTTTTTATCAACACTTGAATGTAGGTAGGTTTTATACAAAATAAAAAAGCAACATTTTGAGCAAAAAGCAGAGAAAATCATTCATCAAACACTACATTTGGATCATATTCAGTAGGATGATCAAAGCAAAGATGCAGCAGATCGCTTCCATCAACACCCCCAAAGCTTCACAGTCCTTTGCTACTTCCTGGATCGACATTGTTGATGATCGCATTGTTTTTTATATGCATATGCATGCATACGAGATCGCTTGTTTCTGCGTCTTCCTTGCCTGTGTTTTTGATCGGCACATTCTAGACTCATTCAGGAGATGCGTAATAGCGCCCCGAACGTATAACAGCGAGAACGCGGAAAAATCCGTGTTTGGCGAGAAAAGAGTTAAAAGCAAACAAGCAAACCCAGCCCAGATGAGAAAAAGTAGCGCAAAAGTAACGTAACGCATTACTTTCCATAAAAAGTAACACAATTCGTTTTGTAAGGGAGTAATGCAATATTGTAACGCATTACTATTAAAAGTAACTTTCCCCGACACTTTGAACTATTTTGGCAGCTTGGTCTCAATGAAAGCTGTTTTGGACTATCAGAAAATTTTAAGTTTGGAAACTTACAGGATGTTTTTGCACTGCAATGACCTCTTAAAGTATGTCAAAATAACTTGACTTGATTTCTTAATTCATGTCCCCTTTAAAAACAAAAGACTGCAGCGGAATAGCTATGAATACAAATGAGTCTATTCTGCTCTGCAGGAAACTCTTTCATCTTCTCTTTATCACCGATGTCCATTGTCGGTGTGTAAACAATGCAGCTGCTGCATGAAGGTGTTTTACATTCATATCAGCACTGCACACATCCACAGCATCTACTCGGTCTGTGCTTTAGGGACACATATGCATACGCTTAGAGAAACTGAACCCTGTATACCCCCTTCCTTCTGTGTGTCGCATCTGCTCCGGTTCCCTCGTGCCCTGCGACGATGACAGATCTTTCATCAAGGTGAACGGCTGACTTTGGCCTCCTCACTCCGGACTCACTGTTATTTCCTCAGCTGCTCGCTACACTCAGTGTCATCTCATTACCAGGAATGAGAAGAGGAACTGCCCCACAAATCAAACCTAACTTTTTTATTAGGCCAGAAAGGAAGGAATAGATTTTGGAAGGTGCTGTTTCAACCTTTATACTGTGAGACAAAGCTGCTGTTTTGGACTGAATGTATCGTAGTAGAATGGAGGAGCACTGTTTGTAATGCGATGCCAAATTAGCTACCACAGTTTTTCAACATATGAATCAAAGTTGTGTCCAAGATGCAGAAATTTAAACATCTTTTTAAAAACTGATTTAAAGTTTTTTCTCTCATTAAGTGGTCAATTTTGAGATTTTGGGCTATTTTGCTTCCATAACATGTCTTCTTTCAGACTAGTGGGAGAAAAAAAGCATCCAAAATACACATTTAAGTGTTTATTTTATTAGCGTCTGTAGACTTCAATTACAATTATGAGGGTTTTTTTTCTCATTGCCTGAGCCAAAAATCTAAGGAGATTTCAGTAGTACTTCGATACAACAAACTTTCCAGTTTTATTCCTGTCTGTATTCTAAAGGTTTTTACAGAGGGGTTTGTTAAAAGTTAAATTTTAACAATTAATTAGTTAAATTCATTTCGGGCTACCAAAACCTGAAGAGTGCCTGCGAGAAGGGCTACCAGGGATTTTAAAATTTTGCGAGCTCGGCTAAGGTCGCTTTCCTGTCACGTTTTTACACATGCTCACTTCAATAAGCCGAAAGTCAAGTCAAGTCAAGTCACCACTATTTATATAGCGCTTTTTACCATGCAAATTGTGTCAAAGCAGCTTTACAGTATTAAATGGGGAAATAGTGTGTCTTTCTCCTCTGGCCAGACAAACCCAGTTTAAATCTAGGCTGCAGCAGAGTCAGATTGTGCAGAGGACTCATCTGGTTCCCGTGTGTCGCATCTGCTCCGGTTCCCTCGTGCCCTGCGACGATGACAGATCTTTCATCAAGGTGAACGGCTGACTTTGGCCTCCTCACTCCGGACTCACTGTTATTTCCTCAGCTGCTCGCTACACTCAGTGTCATCTCATTACCAGGAATGAGAAGAGGAACTGCCCCACAAATCAAACCTAACTTTTTTATTAGGCCAGAAAGGAAGGAATAGATTTTGGAAGGTGCTGTTTCAACCTTTATACTGTGAGACAAAGCTGCTGTTTTGGACTGAATGTATCGTAATAGAATGGATGAGCACTGTTTGTAATGCGATGCCAAATTAGCCACCACAGTTTTTCAACATATGAATCAAAGTTGTCCAAGATGCAGAAATTTAAACATCTTTTTAGAAACTAATTTAAAGTTTTTTCTCTCATTAAGTGGTCAATTTTGGGCTATTTTGCTTCCATAACATGTCTTCTTTCAGACTAGTGGGAGAAAAAAAGCATCCAAAATACACATTTAAGTGTTTATTTTATTAGCGTCTGTAGACTTCAATTACAATTATGAGGGTTTTTTTTCTCATTGCCTGAGCCAAAAATCTAAGGAGATTTCAGTAGTACTTCGATACAACAAACTTTCCAGTTTTATTCCTGTCTGTATTCTAAAGGTTTTTACAGAGGGGTTTGTTAAAAGTTAAATTTTAACAATTAATTAGTTAAATTCATTTCGGGCTACCAAAACCTGAAGAGTGCCTGCGAGAAGGGCTACCAGGGATTTTAAAATTTTGCGAGCTCGGCTAAGGTCGCTTTCCTGTCACGTTTTTACACATGCTCACTTCAATAAGCCGAAAGTCAAGTCAAGTCAAGTCACCACTATTTATATAGCGCTTTTTACCATGCAAATTGTGTCAAAGCAGCTTTACAGTATTAAATGGGGAAATAGTGTGTCTTTCTCCTCTGGCCAGACAAACCCAGTTTAAATCTAGGCTGCAGCAGAGTCAGATTGTGCAGAGGACTCATCTGGTTCCCGTGGTCTTGTCCCAATGGCCGTCTAGGAGACAAGGTTTTCAACAAAAGAACACGGGTTCAGGTGTTTACATGCCGGGCAGAATCAGGGTAATGGGTAAAAACCTAGTCGTGTCGATCAGTTTTTTCTTAAGCCATTTATCTCCTTACGCCATTAAAGGAAAATGGTTTAACACATTTACATGACCACACACGTGTTGACGACTTATTAAGCACAATGCGTTTAAGAATGTGCATGTAAACACACTTAATAATTGCCTGAGTTCTCGTTCATTGTTTGTTATCATGGTTTCTGATAGAGTTACACACCTGCTCCCTGATACGTTGATTATTCTCTGTGTGTGTTTAAGCCCTCAGTTCTTTCTGTTCTTGGTTTGGTGTTGTCATTAATGTTAAACTCTTAGTTATCTCTTGTGTATTCTCTTCATGTATTAAAGTCTTTAATTCTAGCATCTTGGATTATACCTCGCAGTGGTGTGATACTGACCCAGTGACAATGCATTTCACTGAAAAAAAAAAAAAAGAATTTACTTAAATGCTTATTCTAACATGCTATATCATGTCAAGGCTTAAAAAACGAGCCCCATTTGGTAGATGCTGCAACGACGCCATTACGTGGCCAAAATATTTAATTATATTATAATACACGCTTTACATGACATTGACTACTTGTTTTGTGTTTTGAGGCCCCTTAAAAGCATGAAAATGATTTATGCTTATGACTCAAGATAGAAAAAAGGGTTGGGATTGTGCACATTGTTCGGTGTTGTCAGTGCATCGTTTCCTTATCATGGTTTCTGATAGAGTTACACACCTGCTCCCTGATACGTTGATTATTCTCTGTGTGTGTTTAAGCCCTCAGTTCTTTCTGTTCTTGGTTTGGTGTTGTCATTAATGTTAAACTCTTAGTTATCTCTTGTGTATTCTCTTCATGTATTAAAGTCTTTAATTCTAGCATCTTGGATTATACCTCGCAGTGGTGTGATACTGACCCAGTGACAATGCATTTCACTGAAAAAAAAAAAAAAGAATTTACTTAAATGCTTATTCTAACATGCTATATCATGTCAAGGCTTAAAAAACGAGCCCCATTTGGTAGATGCTGCAACGACGCCATTACGTGGCCAAAATATTTAATTATATTATAATACACGCTTTACATGACATTGACTACTTGTTTTGTGTTTTGAGGCCTCTTAAAAGCGTGAAAATGATTTATGCTTATGACTCAAGATAGATAAAAAAGGGTTGGGACTGTGCACATTGTTCGGTGTTGTCAGTGCATCGTTTCCTGCGGCTCCAGAGTAATTAGTTACACAGCTGATGTGATTGCCTCAAAAAAGAAAATCTGATGAAAGCAAGATGGCATCATGTATGTCACATACTTCCAGTCCTGCTCCAACTGAGCAGATGCCACTGAGATGAATGGGAATGCTAACGGATAGCTTTCTCCAGATATTAAAGACCTTGCAGGTATCAAGAGGCATTGATTTCATGATATAGTAGTATGTCCCATGCTTTCAGCAGCATGCACTTTCCCATCACCAGCAAAACAAATGCTTGCAAGTATGCAAATTGGGATGCAATTAGCATGAGACCATCAATCTCAGGAAAGTCTCTGTAAGCATCAGCGCAACCACTTTCATTTAACTAAAAAACTTTATTTATTTGCTTAAATTTGTGTTTATATCTTGTAGCCTCATGTTAAATACAGTAGTGTACATTATATGGTTTTATTGAGCATTCATCTCTTCTTTGTAGGTCACGCTCACCTGACAGATTTTAACATAGCTGCTATTGTGAAGGAAGACTTAAAAGCCACATCTATTGCAGGGACAAAACCATACATGGGTGAGAGCTTTCATACTTCTCTTTAACACTGAGAATCTTCTAGTTATGCTTTATTTGTGTGATTTAACACAGCTTCAGTCAAAGGTTCCTTATCATTGTTACCTTGTCATGAACTATTGTACAGCTATGTTAAATGACAGGTAAGACGTTTTCACAGTTCAGGAAACAGAAACAGAAGCCATTCAACATTATTAGAAGTCAGTGAACCATCAGAATGATTTTGAATATCATATTTCAAGGTAAAAAGAATTGCATTTTGTATTTACCGGTAAAGTCGTTCCGGTAATTTTACGGCAATTTACTGGTATTACTGTGTGCTGTTGTGTAAATTTAATTCATGTCATTTACTCATTACATTGAATTTAACTGAATAAGATCATAAATTTAGCTAGATGATAATGCTATCATTTACTGACTGAAAATAAGGAGCTTAGAGCAGTACGGTACCAGGCTTCAGTTACAAAAAAGACCAGAAAGTAGCATTGAATTAGCATAGTTTTTAGCAATGCTGATTGTTTTAAACAAGTGGGCTGTACAAATAACAGTACTGATACATAACAGCATTGATATAATTTGTTGAAATGGTATACTTGTTATTGGAGTAATAATGATGAAATCATATGATGTGCTGTTGTCTTGTCTGTTGTTGCAGCCCCAGAACTGTTCCAGGCGTTCGAGGGAACACACCCGGGTTACTCTTTTGCAGTGGACTGGTGGTCTTTAGGGATTACTGCATATGAACTTCTCCGTGGACAGGTGAGGCTCTCTCTCGCAACCATCTGATCTGAGGTCAGAATTAGCGCAAGAACCCTTTCAGAATGAAGTGAGCCATACATACAGTAAGAGATACACTAACCCTGCTATTACGCCTCATCATGATCTGCTGAGAATCAACTGAACAAGAAATAGATGTTTCACTGACTGTTGGTTTGACCTCCGTAGAGGCCGTACATCATGCGCACCAACACACCAGCCAATGAGATCCTGCAGACTTTCCACAAAGTGTACCCCTGTTACCCCGTGGCCTGGTCTACAGGGATCAAATCACTCTTACCAAAGGTAGCATTAATCACACGAACAGCACTGTAGTCATACTTTCACTGGATAATTACTGTTACGTTTAGGATCAGTCACGATCTCGTACCGTATGAAACATGCAGTGTGTTTGCTTCTGTTGTCAGTTGCTGTGTGTCGACGCTCAGAAGAGGATTTCCAGTCTCTCGGAGCTCCAGGACTTGGAATACCTCTCTGATGTCAATTGGGATGCTGTGCTCAGCAAACAAATCCCACCTGGCTTCCTCCCTAATGTAAGTTTACAACACACACACACTCACACACTCACACACACACACACACACACACACACAGCAAATAAAGAGACATACACATGCAGACATTCCAGAAATATGAATGATTTGAACCACTTTAAAGGGACAGTTCACCCAAAAAATTCAGTCATCATTTCCGCACCCCCAAGTTCACTGATAAAACTGATTTTGTGGTGAAGTAAATACTATCGAAAAACAAATGTAATTTCTACATTAAAATATTTAGTTTAGGCAAGAATTATAAAAAAAAAATTTTAAAAAAAAGAGTAAATTCTATATTAGTACTCAATTTAAGCTTGTAAAAAATAAAGTTTGAATTTATAAGTAATTTTACTTGGAATTGTTTGTTATGTTTACAAGGATTCTTTAAGTAAATATCAAAGTTATGATCCCGTTGTTCCCATCATGCACTGGAGCATGAATAATTAATAAGGTTAAATATTTCACTGTTTTCGAGTTGTATTTACACTGTTTTATGGTTGCTTGTGTTGTTAGGTTTAGTAACTTGCTGTTTTGTGACATCTGGAGTTCATTTTCTACACAAAATTCATACTCAAACACTATCCACTGATTGTTATCGTCATTGTGTATTGTGTACCAACTATATTGAGGTCTCTGTGTTCATTTGGGTAATAACTATTTTGAGTAGACATATTATCTTAAAAAGGATAACAAGATGTTTACTTGCTTACTTGCATGTTTGTAAGTGAGCCATGCTTTAATAGCATGGTTGGTTTTTTTCAGTGCTACATTGTTAGAGTAAAGTTAACAAACTGTGACTGAGTTAAATGTACTTGAGGATTGCAGAGTAAACTTAAAATAATTAAGTAGAAATTACTCATCAAACTCTAACTGGCCACATTAAATTTACTAAATTTAAATTGTACTTAACTTATAATTCCATACTTAAACTTTACATAAAAAATGTGTGCAAAAACTTGCAAAAGAAAAGTTAAGTAAATTGTTTTTTTCAGTGTTGTTCCAAACCTGCACGAGTTTCTTTCTTCTGCTGAACACAAAAGAAGATGTTTTGAAGAATGTTGGTAACCAAACAGTTGGTAGCCATTGACTTCCATAGTATTTGGGGAAAAATGATGGAAGTCAGTGACTGCCAGCGACTGTTTGGTTCTCAACATTCTTCAAAATATCTTCTTTTGTGTTCAGAATTTATTTTTGGGTGAATTGTTCCTTTAAAAGCAAAGAATCTCTTAACAGGACTCGTAGAAACTGATCATTGTTATGTTCTAAATAAGGAATAAAGAAATCTCTGTGGTTGTCGAACATTAGTAGAACACTCTTCCATTTAGATCGTGCTATGCTGTATATCAAAATTAAATGTTAAAAACTGTTATAATTTAGACTTTATAAAGAAATTTTGAATGCAATCTTTGTATTGTTTGATTTGAATAAATATCTAAATATCTTGTATATATTCATTTAATAAATAAAACTGAGATTCTATGCTGTTCATGTTAACTTTAATAAATTTACAGTATAATAACAGCAGCAATAACTCTTCATAAAAATATCAAAAAGTCAGGGGTTTTATAAAATGTATTTTATAAAACCATAAATATTGATGGTTTTCACCATGTTCTGCTTACAGAACCAGAACATGTTTGCAGATGCGGCTGGTTTAATTTACGTTACACTCGGCAAACCTCGTGCAGATTTATGATGATTGGTCTGGACTGGGAGGTTTTCATGCTGTGAATCTTGGGAGCGAAGTGTCCATCAGTTAAACGCGACAAAAACATACATTTTAGAAGCCTCTTGATGTGGTTATTTTTTAACATTTCTGTTTGCTTGTGGAAATTGTTCTCTATTCAGAGTGCCCATAAGCATTATTTATGCCGTTTGGAATGCACTGTAAAAAATTATGAATTCCAAATTCTGAGAGATCTGAGAAAAGCTCTGGCACTATTATAGCCACTTGCTTGAAATCTGTGCATATCTAATGTGATGACATGCAGACATTTTGAAGTGGGACTTCAGTGTCTTAACTCTTTTTATGGCTGCTGTATTGATATTGATAAGATAACACGTTTTAGGATTTTGAGTGTTTTCATATAAATACTTTTTAACTAAATAGTAATAGGAAGAGTGGCCTTGTGAAAACGTACACCTAAACATACTTTTAGCATGCAAAAGAATAAATAATATACTTCAAACAAATATATTTATGTGTAAATGTAATATTTTCTGGCACTTAACTGCGTGTTATTTGTAATAAAATGAAAATGCATTGAAGTTTAAAAATGATATGAAATGCAATTTTTCTGATTTTTAGAGTGCTTTTTCACTCACTTAAGTAGGACTGAATTATGTAATTTCATAATTATTTCTTTTGTCTTTGAAATATGATTAAAGTGTACTGCTGAATGTACTGACAAGCATTTATGGTAAACTAAAATATGCTTTAATGTCATTTCTATTTAAACTTGTGTTATGTTTTTAAATGTATTTGTAATTACACATTTGTAATGATAAAGCTGCAATTTAGTACATTTAAAATGTAATATCAAATAACACACTAAAGTGCTAATATGTTACTCAACACAAAAATAAGTGTACTTCTCTAAGCACAAGAGATTACAGAAACGTAATATTTAAAATGCACTTTAAAGTAAAAAAAAAAAATACAAAGTGCACTTTTAAAAGTGTATTAAAAATGGTCATGAAAGTGTACTGCCTTTATATACACATAATTAAATATTACATTAATATTAATATTATATTATCTGCAAGTACAGTTTTTAAAAAAAATACTTTTAAGATTTGCAGAACACTATAAGTGCTAATTTAGTAGAATTAATCATCCTTTTTCACAAGGGATTAACTACTGAATTAGTACTTGCCAATAAATGTTCATTTGCTCATGGGCACATTGCACAGGATATAAATGAGTGTTTTTATGATGGCAGAGGCGGCGACTAAACTGCGACCCCACATTTGAGCTGGAGGAGATGATACTGGAATCCAAACCGCTGCATAAGAAAAAGAAGAGGCTGGCGAGGAAGACGAGGGAAAGCGGCTCTGATGGATCTCCTCAGGTAGCATCTCACTGTTATTACTTCAGAACGTAACAGTCACGCCACAGTCTTTGTAAAAAAAAAACTTGTTAACACTGTCAGCCACATGGTTATGCACAGTGTTGGGGAAAGTTACTTTTAAAAGTAATGCATTACAATATTGCATTACTCCATAAAAAAGTAACTAATTACGGTACTTAGTTACTTTTTATGGAAAGTAATGCGTTACGTTACAAAGTAATGCGTTACTTTACTAGTTACTTGAAAAAAAGTAATCTGATTACGTAACTTGCGTTACTTGTAATGCGTTACCCCCAACACTGGTTATGCAACAAGACATAAAACAATTGAAGTCCTGTTTATTACATTAACATGTTTCCCTTGAGTTCTTCTGCAATGGCTCTCTTCTGTTTGTCAGTATGAGTCATTTCTCTGAAGGATTTGTGCAATGAGAGATAAGAATCGTTGACCGAAACATTAACTTTTTCGTAACTTTTTTTTTTTTTTTTTTTTTGCAGTGACTTAATTACTCACTGATCTTTTGTTGTTTTAAAGACAGTTTTATTTTGTTTTTTCATGATGATACATGATACACACTCTGAAACTGTGGTGGTAAAAAATAAAAAGACTACTATGCAAGATTTACAAAAACATGATGAAAGAAGTGCACTTAATTGTTTTTAATATGCACTTGTAGTTTACCGCAAATCTCAAAAGTATATTTTTTAAAAACTGTACTTGTTGCAGATAATATGAATGAAATAAAGGCCACTTACAGTGGGTACGGAAAGTATTCAGACCCCCTTAAATTTTTCACTCTTTGTTATATTGCAGCCATTTGCTAAAATCATTTAAGTTAATTTTTTTTCCTCATTAATGTACACACAGCACCCCATATTGACAGAAAAACACAGAATTGTTTAAGATGTGCTGGATTTGTATTATTAGAGCTTTCAGACTTGAGTTCACATGCATTTTCTCAGTCGGGAATTTCTTTTTCACGTGCGGTGCCGGTGATGATGCTTCTTACGTTCGTTTCGGAGAACCAGAGGACAAATATTTCAATCGATCTGTCAGGCATGGCACCGAAATGAGGCACTGAAATCTGCGTCCTGATTCCGTTCTAGTACATACCGGTTACATGGGTACCGGTGCCATATTGGTACCGGGTTTCGGTACCCAGCCCTACACTTAAGTATATTTTTTAAAGTATAGTTTTTCTGTACTACATAAACTGTTTTTAAAAGTATGCTAAAGAGTATTTCACAGAATGAAAGAAAGAAAGGATGTAGGAGCTGGAGTTGTGTTGTACGTGCACATTTTCTGAAGCAGTGGGGATCAATAATACAGTCTTGCCCTTTACAGTATCTGCTCCTGACTCTCTGTTTCTCTCAGACTTCCTCCCACTGACTCCATCTGTCCTGACTGCCTCTCAGTCCTCTCCTCCCACTGAAGTTTGTAATGTACGGAGAGATGAGCTCAATCCAATCACAGATAAATGCAGCGGAAAATTGAACTCGTTGTGAGAACAAAATAAAGAGAAGCATCCCACAGTGACTGCCTCCCTTCCTAGAGTTCACGCGCCTCTGTTTCTTTAATCTGTGCTTCAATACTCATCAGCACTGATTATTAGGAACGTCACATATTTACAACTAGTGTTGGGGAAAGTTACTTTTAAAAGTAATGCATTACAATATTGCGTTACTCCCTAGAAAAGTAACTAATTGCATTACTTTTTATGGAAAGTAATGCCTTATGTTACTTTTGATCTTTATGTTACTAGATCTCAGTGCTGCGTTTGACACTGTCGATCATAACATACTACTAGAGAGACTGGAAAACTGGGTCAGGCTTTCTGGGATGGTAATCAAATGGTTCAGGTCATACTTCGAAGGGAGAGGTTATTATGTGAGTATAGGAGAGCATAAGTCTAAGTGGACGTCCATGACATGCGGAGTCCCACAAGGCTCAATTCTTGCACCACTCTTGTTTAGCCTGTATATGCTCCCACTAAGTCAAATAATGAGAAAGAAACAAATTGCCTATCACAGCTATGCTGATGATACCCAGATTTACCTAGCCTTAACGCCAAATGACTACAGCCCCATTGACTCCCTCTACCAATGCATTGATGAAATTAACAGTTGGATGTGCCAAAATTTTCTTCAGTTAAACAAGGAGAAAACTGAAGTCATTGCATTCGGAAACAAATATTAAGTTCTCAAGGTGAATGCATACCTTGACTCTAGGGGTCTAACAACTAAAAATCAAGTCAAGAATCTTGGTGTGATTCTGGAGACAGACCTTAGTTTCAGTAGTCATGTCAAAGCAGTAACTAAATCAGCATACTATCATCTAAAAAACATTGCAAGAATTAGATGTTTTGTTTCCAGTCAAGACTTGGAGAAACTTATTCATGCCTTTATCACCAGCAGGGTGGACTATTGTAATGGTCTCCTCACCGGCCTTCCCAAGAAGACCATTAGACAGCTGCAGCTCATCCAGAACGCTGCTGCCAGAATTCTGACTAGAACCAGAAAATCTGAGCATATTACACCAGTCCTCAGGTCCTTACACTGGCTTCCAGTTATATTTAGGATTGATTTTAAAGTACTTTTACTCGTTTATAAATCACTCAATGGCCTAGGACCTAAATACATAGCAGATATGTTCACTGAATATAAACCTAACAGACCACTCAGATCATTAGGATCAAGTCAGTTAGAAATACCAAGGGTTCACACAAAACAAGGGGAGTCTGCTTTTAGTTATTATGCCGCCCGCAGTTGGAATCAGCTTCCAGAAGAGATCAGATGTGCTAAAACATTAGTCACATTTAAATGCAGACTCAAAACTCATCTGTTTAGCTGTGCATTCATTGAATGAGCACTGTGCGATGTCCGAACTGATTGCACTATATTCTATGTATAATCGTTTTCTTAAATTCATTTTAAACCTCTTAAATCAATTTTTTAAATAATTTTCAAAGTTTTAAATTCCTTGTTTTACTGTTGTGATTATTTTTTTTATTACTATTTTTTCTTTTCTTTTATGTAAAGCACTTTGAATTACCATTGTGTATGAAATGTGCTATACAAATAAACTTGCCTTGCCTTGCCTTGCCTATCTCTATCTATCTTTCTATCAAACTGGATTTTGACCTTTGACCTGTACATCAAATACTTACATCTATCTATCTATCTATCTATCTATCTATCT